GAACCGGCGACCTTCCAGTTACAGATGCAATTCCCAACCCCCTGAGCCACAGTCGCCCCAGATGCCAGGTTCTCTCTTCATTCCTCATTTGCAAATCCAGCAGCATGCTTCCGGCCCCAAGATGCCAGTTTTGGCAGGAGCCTTTGCAAAGCAAAGGTAAACCTTCGTGGCACCGAGATGCCAGGTTCTGTCCTCTATCACTTCTTTTTAGACACCCAAACTGCGTCGTGTGCATAATTCTTCATGGTGTCCCTTCATTTCTCATGTGCTATCACTAGCACCATCAGGCATCCACCCTCGACACAATCATTCGAGACCCCTCTCTAAGTCGACTCATGGTTCTGACTACGTCTGAACAGCTTATCATCTCCCACGAAGTCCAATGGACTCGCAATCTGCTCTCTGATGATTTTGGGGGTTATTATTATAGACATTATTTTCCTCTAAACAGTCTTCCCAAGCTGCTGCTGTCACTTCTGTTAATTCAGAAATCAGCTCAGTCATAATTGCTACCCTATCCAAATTAATTAACCCGCTAAGCACCCTCCCTCTTCATCTTTCACTCAAAGACAAGCTCACAAGCTTTTCGAGCCGTCAAGCCCTACCTCAAATCTCAAATCCAGCATTTTTTTCTGTTAGCGTTTCAGCTGAAAGTCGAGCCACGTCACTACCCGATTGAGGGTTCCCCTCATTCATCCATTAAGATTTTTGTCTTTGTTTGCAACTTCCTTGGATCTCTTCTCCTGCCATTCCTCCTGAATTGTCCAAGTTCATTCACTCCACACCATGGAGAGATGTTCCCTCTCCGTGCAATCTCCGTGTGCTCGTCTTCATCCTCTTCTCCTTCTCTCTCCCCAACCGGTCGCTTCAGATTGCTCGTTTGGCTCTGGTCGAAGGCAGTCGCACTTTTCTCCACTCCTCCTTCCCCTTATCTTCCCTGCTTAGCCTCTTGTGTCCTTGTCTTGTCTCGTGTGTATTACTTTCCCTGGAACACTCTCTCACAGTCTGTTTCTAAAACCTAAAAGAGAATTATGGATTTGATCAACTGGTCTCTCAATGCTATTGACACCCTTTTCTCAACGAGAATTCTGGGCTCGGGAGAGCCCGAGTGCCCTGGAGGGACTTTCCCTGCCGGATACACAATGGACGGGTGGCAGAAATGGAGGGTCGTGTGCCTAGCTGGACTGTCGATCGAGGACGCTGAAGATATCTACCTATTCGGAACCATGATAACAGGGTTCTTGCTGATCGGAGCTGGCTTGGCCCTGGCTTATCGGAGAATTAAGAAAGCAGAACCAGCTGTTCAAACCCCCCCAAGGCTGTCCGCTGGGATTGAAACAATGGGACGAAGCGCGACTTCTCAGAATAGGCTCACTGAGTGCAGCATGGTTAAGACCTTGGAGAAGCTTACGGCTGCCGTGAATACTCAGAATAACACCTCTGAGCGTATATTGGGTTACATCAAGGAGAAGTCCGCTCAGGATAACACCTCTGAGCGAAAGTTGGATTACATCGTGGAACAGTTCACTGCAGTCATGAGTTCTCAGAATCGGCTCTCTGATCACAAGAATGACAAGACCACGGAGCGCAAGTTTGAGAGACCAGTGTCGGAGTGTTAAAGAACAGCTTTGAAATTCTCATGAGCTGCTCGCATAAAAGAAAAATCAACAACATCAACAACATCAACATCATAATGCGGATACCCCCTCGGCGCCAGCTGTGGGCTCAAGGCTGGAGCCGACCAAAAACTCCCTGATAACGACTGTGTGTTGACTGTTCTTCCCACTGTATGCAAGGCCACCTGGTTTTGATGGTAGACTGTTTACTTAGCCTGATAGGGCGGAGGACACTGTCTCAGCTGAACTATGGATACGCACACACATACACTTACACTGGTAAGCACTCACACATCCCCCCTCCCCTTCCAATGCCTCCGATGCTTGTCGCCTCCTGGGAACACGAGGTGGGTCTGGGCCCATGCTGGAGAGTCGGCGCAGTGGCAGGATGGCTGCTGTGTTGCCTGGGATTACTCCTTATCCCCTAACCAACCTTATTGTTGGTCACGTGCTCTATAATGTTGTACAGTGGACATTTATGTGCTTTCTGTGCAGAGGAGTTTTTTTGTTTCCTGTTCTCATGCTGTCCTCCTATAGCCCAGCATGAATAGAGGTCTCTTTCTTTCCTCTTGTACTTTCCCTTTGTAGTGTACATTTCAGTGTTTTTTTCTGTAATGCAACCGTTCTCTGACTTGTATCCCCATGTGATGTCTGTGTTGTGTGTGTATGGTCGGGGGCGGGTTTATTCCACTGCAGGGCAACCTGCCACTGCATGTGGTGAATAAAATTTGAACTTGAACTTGAACAAATGGCCCCGCCCCTCCCTGATCCTGGTTCTGCCGGAGGTTTCTTCCTTTTAAAAGGGAGTTTTTCCTTCCCACTGTTACCAAAGTTCTTGCTCATAGGGGGTCATATGATTGTTGGGTTTTCCTCGAGATATCATTGCAGAGTCTCGAGGTGTCTGTCACTGTGACTCTTTGCTGTATAAAAAAGTCAAATCAATTCCGCTGACGTCTTCGACCTTCGTATCGCGCAGTTATTACTGCTCCTAGGGATGCCTTCTTTGGGGATCTGCCAGGCCCGGGAGCCGTCACCAGTCCCCTACAGAAACAACTGAAATAAAGATGGAAAAGAAGTTTAGCAGCAAGTTTAGCTGTGAAAACTAATATTTCTGTGATTCTCAAAACGTTTGGCCATGGCTAGCTATAAAAAAAAAAAATCCCCACTCGCCCGTGTGGGAGGTCAATCCTTCGAGCTCGGGTCCTCTACCAGAGGCCTGGGAGCTTGAGGGTCCTGCGCAGTATCTTAGCTGTTCCTAGGACTGCGCTCTTCTGGACAGAGATCTCCGCTGTTGTTCCCGGGATCTTCTGGAGCCACTCGCCTAGCTTGGGAGTCACTGCACCTAGTGCTCTGATTACTACTGGGACCACCGTCACCTTCACCCTCCACATCTTCTTGAGCTCTTCTCTGAGCTTTGGTATTTCTCAAGCTTCTCGTGTTCCTTAGTTCCTTAGGCAATAGTTGGCTAACCTCCTTGATCTTGGCTGTTCAACTTGTAGCCAAGCATCTCACTGATCACTGCTGCCGTATTGTAGATCAGCTTGTTAGTGTCGGTAATCGTGGTTGTAGGTATTGTCCGTAGTGCTGCATTAACATCATCTAGCAGACCTTCTGAGGGTACTTCACGTAATCTTGGTAACCGGCTACGGGGGGTCCAGGTTTCAAGCTTGGCCATGATCCTATCTTTCAGGTCAGTTCCTCTCGCACTCAATGATCCTTCTCCTATCGCACTTGGGGCTTGGTACCCAATCTCGGGTGGGGGTGATGATATCTCCCCCTTGCCGTAGCATTTATGTTGTACCTCGTCAATCTCTAGCTGTGAGAGCAGTCCCTTCTTTCGAATGTTGGAACACTGAGCTGTCATTGTGGATGTTCGGTATCGAAGAATCCATAGGTCCCTCATCCTACTCATGTAACCCCTCCCGCCAGGGTTACTTTCGTAGTTGCATTCCAACAACACCCTGTTTTCGTCTCTTGCCCACTGATGCCCTCTTGTTCCAGTAGCCCACTTCTCGTCAGGGTGCCCTGGTTCCTCAACACCTGAAGCGGACCTTGTTCATCTGGGCGCCTTCGGTCATGTCTGCGGTAGGCTTGCTTAGCATAGGGGGTCTAGCCTTAGGACCCTTACTGGATACAGACACCCCAGGAATCGAACTTGCGGTCCTGTGCTCCAAAGGCGTGTAGTCTAACCACTATCTATGGTCATAATCTCTTAAATTTGGATGTTGTTTTTTTTTTGCAGCAGTCAGTAAATGATTTGAGTGATCAATAAATGTGTTCACAGAGAGAGGAAGAGGAGTGGTGTTTGTGAGGAGGAGCAGCTCTCATGCTCTGCTTTGTGCCAGGACGTCCTGAAGGATCCAGTCTCTACCAGCTGTGGACACTGCTTCTGCAGACAGTGCATCTGCTCATACTGGGACCAGTCTGCTTCATCAGGAGACTTCTCCTGTCCCCAGTGTGGAGAAAGACCCAGAACCAGAGCTGGACTGCAGACAGCCAGTCAGAGCAGCTGTGTACAAAGTAAGACTGAACATCTGTCTGCTGATGGACTCATTTCTGAAAACTGGACTTCTTGTGTTGTTCAGACATTGAAGAGTTTTCGTTCTCTTTAGTCTCATTGTTTTTCTTTCTTTCAGCAGATGTTGGTCTGCAGGAGGTTTTAGATGAACATAAGATCAGTCTGAGGAGAAGATTTGAATGTGTGACTGAAGGAAGTGATGAAACAGGAAGTAGAACCCTCCTCAACAGGATCTACACTGAGCTCTACATCACAGAGGGACAGAGTGAAGAGGTTCATACCCAACATGAGGTGAGGCAGCTGGAGACAGCTTCCAAGATGGACGCCCTCCATGACACTCCAATCAGGTGCCAGGACATCTTTAAAACCTTACCTGACCAACAGAGACCCATCAGAGTGGTTCTGACCAACGGCGTGGCTGGTGTTGGAAAAACCTTCTCAGTGCAGAAGTTCACTCTGGACTGGGCAAAGGGCTTGGAGAACCAACATGTCAGCGTGGTGGTTCTGCTTTCATTCATGGAGCTGAACCTGATCAGAGATGAGCAGTACAGTCTTCTGGAGCTGCTCCATGTTTTCCATCCAACATTACAGAAGGTCACAGCAGAGAAGCTCGCTGTCTCTCAGCTTTTGTTCATCTTTGACGGCCTGGATGAAAGCAGACTTTCATTGGATTTCACCAACAGGAAGCTGCTGTCTGATGTCACACAGAAGTCATCAGTCAGCCAGCTGCTGACAAACCTCATCCAGGGGAATCTGCTTCCCTCGGCTCTCGTCTGGATAACTTCCCGTCCTGCAGCAGCCAATCAGATCCCTCCTACATGTGTTGACAGGCTAACAGAAGTACGAGGCTTCACTGACGCCCAGAAGGAGGAGTACTTCAGGAGGAGATTCAGTGATGAAGAGCTGTCCAGCAGAATCATCTCCCACATGAAGACATCCAGAAGCCTCAACATCATGTGTAGTATCCCAGTCTTCTGCTGGATCACTGCTACAGTTCTGGAGCACACCTTGACTACAGAGCAGAGAGGAGAGCTTCCCAAGACCCTAACTGACATGTACTCACACTTCCTGCTGGTTCAGACAAAGAGGAAGAAGAAAAACTACTGTGAGGGACATGAGACGAGTCCACATGAGCTGACGGAGGCTGACAGGGAAGTTCTTCTGAAGCTGGGAAAGCTGGCATTTGAACATCTGGAGAAAGGAAACATCATGTTCTACCAAGAAGACCTGGAGCAGTGTGGTCTGGATGTGACAGAGGCCTCGGTGTACTCAGGAGTTTGTACAGAGATCTTCAAAAGAGAGTGTGTGATCTTCCAGAAACCAGTCTACTGCTTTGTTCATCTGAGCATTCAGGAGTTTCTGGCTGCAGTCTACATGTTCCACTGTTTCACCAACACGGCGGCAAAGGTGGTAGTGGACTTCCTGAGGATAGACTACAATGAGTCATCTCTGAATGTTTTCCTGAAGAGAGTCATGAAAAAATCCCTCCAGAGTCAAAATGGCCACCTGGACCTATTTGTTCGCTTCCTTCATGGCCTCTGTCTGGAGTCCAACCAGAGACTCTTAGGAGGTCTGCTGGGTCAGACAGAGAACAGTCCAGAAGCCATCCAGAGTGCCATAAACAGCCTAAAGAAGATGAATAGTGATCAAAACTCTCCTGACAGAAGCATCAACATTTTCCACTGTCTGATGGAGATGAACGACCTCTCAGTACATGAAGACATCCAAGAGTTCCTGAAGTCAGAGAACAGATCAGACAAGGAACTCTCTGAGATCCACTGCTCAGCTCTGGCCTTCATGCTGCAGATGTCAGTGGAGGTACTGGATGAGTTGGACCTGCAGAAATACAACACATCAAAACGGGGACGACTGAGATTGATTCCAGCTGTGAGGAACTGCAGAAAGGCTCGGTGAGTCCAAATTGGTTCATTACCATCATCAGAATAGAGCAGTAGATTTTTTATTCAGAAATACACCAGGTTTTCTTTAGGTTTTTAAAAAGTCTGAAATTAAAATCAAAGAAAATGACAAATTTCAGATCATATTTCTAAGTTAAATCACCTGTCAGCATAATTTTGCATGTGAATACATAGCATAGCCATTAAGATGCATTTTATAAGCACTTTTTTTAACTGTTTGGTGTGACTTAATTTTGATTCTCCTTTAGTTATGAATTTTTAGGATGTAGTGATATGGAATAGCTCACTGCTAACTTCTTTAACATCCAAGGTGGGTAATTAATGAGTAGCAATGGATCAATGGACGGATATCAGATCTCAGCTTAACACCTGTATCTAAAAAAAAGTACCGTCAAAACATTACTTAATGATTATGAAATTTAATAACATCTATGAGGACATGGAGAGAAAATGTAAACACTGACTTGTGTTAGTGTTGTAGGAGGAAGATGAATGAATGAATGAATGCCTTTTTTACAGTTACAGCAGAGTCACTGAAACAGAGCAGTGTCTTAAACAGGAAAACACAAACTAGACAGATACCGGGAAAACCAACTGAGTCCAATATAACCATACTATACAAAATATTTATATCCTTACACATATGTAGGTGTATAAGCTGAAAAGTCTCTGAATGTGGGCCTTTACAATTCTTCAAATAATCACTGAGAGGAAATCTTGCAAGCAGATGCATTTCACATTTTGTAGTGGACAGAGATGTTCCTAGACTGTGAAAGTAGTTGAAGTGCTGATAGAGAGCACCAGACCATCTGCCACTGTTTCTCAACTTGAGGATATAAAATATATACAGGGATCAAAAATTACAGTACAAGCATGTTTGATGAATCAATAAAAACAGTCTGAATCAGCAGAGGTGGAGCAGAATCAATAAACTAATTAGCAAGGCTGGAAGCATCATTCGTCTGAATCTGGAGGCGTTTGAGTCAGTGAGGGTCAGAGGTCACTCTCAGAGTTCAACATGAAACAAACTTTAAAGTCAGAATCGCATGACTGAGTTGTCAGAGAAGAAAAAAAATATGTAAATGAAAAATGATGAAATTCACAAATGCAGACCCTCAAATATTATCCAATGACCTGTTAATTAGTTTTTTCCGTTTTTTCAGGAGATTCTCTGTAAACTGAGATGGCTGTGTGGGAAAATCGAGTAGATCTTATTAAATTCCGTTCTTTGTATTCTTGAACTAACCCTAAACAACAAATTTTATTCAACTGTGGTGCTCTGTGCTTCTTTTGGGTGCCCCTCTCTGGTGGTTCCGTTCGGTCCGGTGCTCCCTGGAGTCTCGCCACCCCTGTGGTCGCTGTGGTCCCGAAATGTCCTGCAAAGGAAACAAAACACCTTTCCCTACTACGCCTTACGAGTCTACTATGCGTATCAATTGTTCTTTTAATTATTCAAAGTTAGTTCAACCTATCATGTTCTGGGCTCTATCCTTTAAGTGACACTTTTGACATTCTTTAACACACTTAAAGAGCCGCTGTCACGTCCCTCCAGGTGTTTCCTGTTGCTCACTCTCTTCTCCTCTTATCTGATTATCAACATCCTGTACACAAACTGTTGCTTCTGCAACTGCGAAAGTTGCCAAGCAGAATGTGCCTTAACTCTGACCTACAATTCGCAGTACATGTTATCTGTCTCTGCAAACATCTTCATTGACCTTTTACACCCTGTCACCTTTCACAATAGATCATCTCTTCATGAGCACTTTAAGTCATTATAACCGCTTATTTTACTAAAATATCAAAGAGAAAACAAACATTTCCAATCAATTAAGTTTTAGCATAAAAGCAATTACTTATGCGTAAGTTTTATCATAGCTAAATTATCAAGCTCCCAGAAAGTCCAAACATGATCATAAAGCCCCTTATTTCAACTTAAACACAAAATCACCCCCTCATGAAACACCTCATATGTCAAATAAGCTAAAGACCAGCTACTAAAACTGAAAATACTGAAAATATTTCACCACCTCTTATAAAATTAAAAGAAAACCTTAGTCACATTATTTCTCTAAAACCCTCAGCAATTCTCCGCTCGGGTGTATTGCCCCAGGCCTCCAAACATGTGTTTAGGAAGAAAATCAGTTTAATCATCATGTTAAATCTTTTAAACTCCTGGCTCCATTCAGAGCTGCCTAGAAACAACACCTGTGTGTTAACACTAACTTCATTTTTAAAACTCACATTTCCCACTTGTAATACCTGTGTTATAACAAAACTTAAGACAAAACAGTTATCAATCATGTTCTTCATACAACATATTTTGATTTCATTTGCTCCTCTTAATGTAATGGTACATGTTACGGATTCAAATATCGAGGAGGGACACAGGAGGAATCCAAAATCACAACAGTGGTCCAGAAGGGTTAGATCAAACGATGTTTTAATGAACACACGCGTGGGAGATGAACACTGTACGCAGACAGCATCGATCTCCGCCCAAAAATACACCAGCAGTTGTCTTTATAGCATCAGGGTATGTTTTCTGATGCCCCCTCTTGTGTCATTACATGCATAAGTTATAAAAACTTTGTGGAAAATTGGTCCAGGTCTGCTTTGCCCTGAAAATAACAAAACTGAGACATTCTCTAAACCATCATGAGTTCAGGCTTCAATTTCAATCAAATTATATCCTGTATTCTCGCACTCGAACTCGTCCTGGCTTCACCTCTGACTGGTCCCTGTCCCTCTTCTCACGGTGTCCGGTGTGGCCTTAAAATCTTCAGCCAACACTGTCAGCTGTTTCTTCTTCTCAGTAGATCTTTTCAGTCTTTCCCTTTAGGTTAACTCCCAGCATGGCAAACCTGAAAATCAGTGTCCAGTGCTTTCCCACAGTCATTTATCCCACTGTTCTTCCCAGCCTGTAATTCACAGTGCATGTTGCATCACGTGCTTCCTTACATGCTACTGCTGGAGTCTTCAGTGTTATAGTTCAGTTGCACTGTGTTAAGGTTCAAGAATTGAGGAAGGAGAGTACAAACCACCATGGTCCAGAAGATCTTGGTCAAACAATGATTTTAATGAATACACGCGTGGGAAGACACTCTGTACGCAGACAGCAAGTGATCTTCAACTTAATCAAAGCATAAACAGACATTTTATACCATCAGGGCTTAAATTTACTGACGCCCCTTCATGCGTCACAGATACATTTTATACATAGATCAAATCAGCACCACAATGACTTTTCACCCAATTTGAAAGAACATCATTTTCTATTTTCATGGCCGATTCCTCCGGTCAACCTTTCAGTTCCTCTTTCTTGCCAAGAAGACAAGGACCGGTTCCTCTTTTACCGAGACTCTTTCACAGTTCCAATCCAGACATGACTAATCTCTCCTCTAAATAAATCTAACTCATGTGTGTGTGTGTGTTGACCTCACATGTTCTTTGTGTCACCTCTTCACCTACTAACTGTCTCTTGTCCTTAAATGCTCTTTCTCAATTCACCTGTTGTACTTCTGACCTTTCACCAGGCCAGAGGCTCACTGAGACTTTATGTATGTCTTCTTACTAAATAAATGTTTTAACCAAGAACCTCTACTTAACCTTAATATAAAATGACCTGATATATAAGTGTTTTGTAAGCATGCACTGCAATTCCTTCTATGGCTCCAAGTCACTTGCACAATAGATTGTCCGGACATCGCGCCGAACAAAGCTTACAACCTCCAATTAATTGACCGAGCTCCAACTCTTTAATAAGCACAGATATGCAATGTGTATAAAATAGTTATAACTGCACCTGAAATACAAGGTCAACATAATAACTGTATGCATAACATCTTAAGGCCTTCTTAAAGCTATCTGTTACATTGTTAAAGCCTCGTCTTAGCCTGCTGCTCAAAATATTTAGACTGCTTTCACTTCTGCTTTCTCTCCTGCAACTTCCTGTCCTGTTACTTTTAGCCTTTCTGAAAGACACACACACTGTTCAACCTCTAAACGCAATATAAACTACAGATTATATTATTAATGCAATGGTAATGATGACAATTATTTAACAATAGCAGTAAAATAATTTCCCTGCTCCACAACTGTCTTTCGCCTGCTGTTAATTCTTCAAGTACACGGTGTTCTGTCTGTCTTCTGTCTTCATCAGGAGATTGACTGTCCTTTAAACTCCTTCTCAGGATAAGGAGACAATGAGAGGTGAAGCTGTCAAATTCTAAGCCAAAGCCTGGCCTGTTTTCATCCCAATTCTGTTAATCTATGCTTTTGCCGCTGTACTCATGTTTTCAAGTTGAGAAGAGTCCACCTGTATTGACACACTAAAACATTCAATTAATATCATTTTCATTGCTGTCTTAATACATTCAGTCTCTAATTCCTCTGTTTTCGTATTCCAACGTCACAAGCTCACAGTTTTCTGCTTCACTCAATTGTCATCTGCTTTTACAACCTAAGCGAACTGTTATTTTATATTTACAGCCTATATATCCTCTGTAACTCGGCTAAGTCTTAATCTAAAACCAATGCACCCTTATTACACACACACACTTAAATATACTAAGCTCTTTGCATTTGCCAGCATTCACATCAAAATCTTCAGCGGGCTTAGCAGAAGTCTTTTGGCACAATTAACAATTTTCCACACATATCACCATTCTTTCATTTCAGTTTTGTAGCATCATTCACGCAATACTTTCATCATCGTCTCACACACACACACCGCCTTTTCTCTCAAAACAATGTGCATCTTTAATCATTCATCCAAATAACAATTTTACACTTCACTTATACATTCACATATTTATATATAACAAAAGACACTGACTGCCAAGATCAATTATTTCCATTTCCATATCACAACTTCACTTCATTTCGACCACTTTAAAAGCCTCTAAGGCCCAGGTTTGCCCACCCTGCTGGTCAATCACCCCACTTTGGGAACGCCCTCTCCGATAGCGGTCAAATTTCTAGGCCCTAATTAATTTATAACTGCTTCCCGCGGCTCGACAGAAACTCCACTTCCAGCAACTAAGTATCTCACTTGCGCCTTAAAGTTTTACTTAAATCTTACCTGTCAGTCACGTTGAATGGTCAAGGCCAGGACCCCGCCCTGTCGATTAAACAGTGCAAGAAAAGTGGTGCTTGACCAATAATTATTATTTGACTGTACATTATACTTTAAAGTAACATTTTTTCATTTCACTTGCAGATGTTTCTAATCTATGTGTACACCTGGTTTGAGATGTGTGAGCTGTACATTGTTACCAGCTATTTATCTTTTATAAATGCTGTGTTTGTTTGGGAAGAAGCTTCATAAATATCATAAGGTTTACATACTATCCTAATCTGGAGGAGGGTTGCTAGCAATGTTCCCTCTAAACTGCGCATGTGCACAATTGCTCACTGCTGGCACGGTCTTTGCGCAGAAAAAAATCTGTGTTGCACACAAAAAAAAATAATTCTAACCTAAATTGAAATTAAAGTATATACGTTAACAATTCTGTTTTGCAGTGTTAGTCAGTAAGTGACTGGCTGCTCCAGTATGGGATTAGAACAATGCCACCTTATCGTATAGTCCAGCCAATCACACAATTCACATTCATATTTAGGCAGCTAATCAACATCGTTGTCAGGCTATGACAGCGTCCTCATGTGCTGACACCGGTGTTTTAGCTAGCAAAGTGGCATGGCTGATGAGCAGTGAAGCGATGTTAATGACAGCATGTACAACCATTGGAGAAGTGAGCAGGACAGATGGAACAATTGATGGGAAGAATGTGGACTTTTTAAAAAATTTTAAATTTCTGCTTTCATAACACCAAATTTTATATTTTCTATAATCCTAGACTGACTTATTGTGGACTCTTAGAGGCTCACTGTGAAGTTGTGGCCTCAGTTTTGAAGTCCAACCCCCCCTCCCAGCTGACAGAGTTAGATATGAGTGGAAACGAGCTGCTGGATTCAGCAGTAATGTTTCTGTGTGCTGGACTTGAGAGTTCAAATTGTCGACTGGAGACTCTGAGGTGAGTTCACTGATTGCAGCTGTCATTGTTTTTCTGTGTTTCAGTTGTTTGATGTTTGAACCTTTATTTAGTTCATAAATGTTCAGGGTGTGTCTGAAGGCAAATGTGAAGAAGTTTCAGTGCTTTCAGACAGGGAGACGTTTGACAGGACCGTTTTTCAGCCTCCACAGGTTCAAGTTGTGTTCCATCAGTCAGTGAAGATGAAGTCAGCACTGATGAGGCAAGATCTGATGATAGCAGATAAAAACAATAATAATATGTTTCGCCTGGCTTCTTAATCTTCCTTTGTGTTTGTTTATATTACATGCTTTATCAGTATTGTTTTTACATTTTTGTCTGGTGTCACATTATTGCAGACATACGATCACCATTCACTATTGTTGATCAAATTTGCCATGGATAGTTTCCAGACTCAGGAATCAGAATCAGAATCAGAATACTTTATTGATCCCCACTGTTGGGAAGGTTACTTTTAAAATGTCTTCCACTACAGATTAGAGAATACATGGCCTAAAATGTATTTTGTAACATATTCCGTTACGTTACTCAATGAGAGTAACGTATTCTGAATACTTTAAATTACTTAATATATTATCATGCTTTTTACAACTACATGAATGTACTATTGCTGTGTGATTTATTACTATTACTGAAGGTTACTCATCATACCAATACCAACTAGATTTTTAAATCTTAATATAAATGAGTAGCAGTAGGTGGACATTAGGTAAGGCTGCACTTTTCGCAGCGATCTCGTATAGAAAACTATTCGGGGCGTTTAAAAAACGGGTCCGCAGCTCCGAACCGTAGCAAAGGGACCTCTGGCTATTACGTACGTTCTGTGTCGGGTTCTTAGCTGAAAACTAGCTTTACTTTGTTGTCTAGGTCATTGAAAGGCTGCGCCAATGGGACTTATTGTTTCGGAGGAAAAACATGAACACAGTGTACAGTCGAGTCTTAATAGCTTACTTGCAACTGGGCTTGTCAGGCAGTCTTTTTGGCTGCAGTGGTTATTATTATATTTACATACTTCATACATGCTATGCCTTTAACACTCTGCCTTCATATTAAATCATTTTTTGAATAATACTTTTTACAAATATTTCTTCACATCATAATGCAAGTAGAGGTGACATGGCTGTGAGATTGAAACCCAGGCATTAGAGCGTCTTAATGCGTATTTTGTTTGGGTGTCCACCAGCGTGGAATTAGCAAAAATAGAGAGAGCATAGCTTAACATATGGAACAGGAAAAGACCGCCATGTAATCCATTCATTTCAACAGAGTAATTGTATTCTGAATGCTACCTTGTTAAACAGTAACTGTAACAGAATACAGTTACTCATATTTCGTATTTTAAATACGTAACCGCGGTAGATGTATTTCGTTACTCCCCAACACTGTTGATCCCTAGGGTAAATTATTTTGGTTACGGTGCTCCAGTATAAACAGTAAAAAAGACAGACAATACGATAAGTAAGAAATAGACACAATATAAACAATATATACATGCATATATATACACATATAAGTCACTTATTGATAAATAGCTTAAAAAGTAGAAGAGCATGTGCAAAAAGGTTGTAGCTATTGCAGTATACAGTGTGTTAAGTGGATGAATTGTACAAAATTGGCCACAGGCAGGAATGATTTCCTGTGTCGTTATGTGGTGCTTTTTGGTACTTTCAGTCTCTGACTGAACATGCTCCTGTGACTGACAAGCACGTCATGGAGTGGGTTGGAGGTATTATCCAACATTGTCTTTATTTCGGAAAACATCCGCCTCTCCAACACCACCTTAAGGGAGTCCAGCTCCATCCCCACAAAATTACTGGCCTTACGGATCAGTTTATCGAGTCTGTTGGCATCATCAACTCTCAGCCTGCTCCCTGGTGTAGAGGATTGTACTGGCCACAACAGACTCTTAGAAAATCCTTAGCATAGTCCGGCAGATGTTCAAGGACCTCAGACCCCTGAAACAATAGAGGCGACTCTGGCCCTTCCTGTAAAGCGCTGTGGTGTTTTTAGCCCAGTTTAATCCAAATTCCTGTCAATGTATACTCCGAGGTATTTATAGTTGTCCACAATGTCAACATTGACCCCCTGGATTGAAACCGGGGTCAAGTGTTTTCTGGTCTTCCTGAAGCCCACGATCAATTCTTTTGTCTTTGCCACGTTGAGCTGAAGAGGATTCTTCTCACACCATGTGACAAAGAACTCGACCACAGCCCAGTACTCAAGAGTCATCAGAAAACTTCTGAAGATGGAGGTCTCGGTGCAGTGGCTGAAGTCTGTGGTGTAGAGGGTGAAGAGGAAGGGGGAGAGGACAGTCCCTTGTGGTGCCTCTGTGTTGCTGATTACCTTGTAAGACACACACTGTGGAAGACGCACGCACACTTCCTGTCAGTTAATCAACAATCCAGGACACCAGAGAAGCATCAACCTGCATCGCTGTCAACTTATTTCCCAGGAGGGTTGGCCTGATAGCATTGAAAACACTGGAAAAGTAAAAAAGTCATGATGCTCACAGTGGTATCCGGCTGGTCCAGATGGACTTCCACGGGTGCGTTATAATTGTGAATGTCCTGGTGCATCCATGATTCAGTGAAACACATCAGGCTACACTCCCAGTATTCCCTCTGACTCTGTACCAGCGCTGAGAGCTTATCAATTTTATTTATTAACGATCGCACATTTCCCATTACGATAGACGGCAGACGTGGTTTGTACCTCCTCCTCGCTCGCTTCGAGCCACTGCTGTCTCATCGTCTCCCTCTTTCTTCTTTTCTGTCTTCCTGTTTTCCTTCAAATTTCAACTGGCACTTCTGTGGGTCTGGCCGGCCAACCAGCCGGCATCAGGGCGATCAGCTGATTCTGAAGTAAACAGTCCTTGAAGTATGTAGGAGTTGTGTCGCGGTCCCGTTCCTCGATAAAAGCACCTGAACATACATAAAATCTATATCAGCTCAAAGTCTGAAATACTTTTTCTTTCTGAAAAATCATAGCTTATTAAATGCTGTTTTTCTTACCTGTTTACTGTGACTTCTGTGTCTGAAGTTCAGTGTTGGGGAGTAACGGAATACAGGTACCGCCGTTACGTATTTAAAATACAAAATATAAGTAACTGCATTCCGTTACAGTTACTGTTTAAAAAGGTGGTATTTAGAATACAGTTACTTTGTTGAAATAAATGGATTATATGGCGGTATTTTTCTGTTTCATATTGTCGCGGGTCAGGACTGTTTGGCTTTGACAGCTACGTTCTGTTGTTCCAGGCGGCAGTGTTACTGTTGCCATGGTTACAGGGTGACGCTCTCTCTCTGTGACTGTGTGTTTCCTGGGTGAGAGAGCGCCTTTTTGCTGTTGTGCAAAGCTAATAGGCAGAATGCTACAGGCATAGCTCTAAAGAATGTAGCATCATGGGCAGTGTAGTCCGTGCTGCAGGGAGAAAGGACTTCCATACCAGTTATGTGTCTGTGAGCGCGAGGAAGGAGAGAAAGGAGAGTGGAAAAGTACCAGCTGTCATCGAGCAGAAACGGGAGATGGAAGCATGTAAATATAATAATAACCACTGCAGCCAAGAAGAGTGCCTGACGAGCCCAGTTGTAAGTAAGCTATTAAGACTCAACTGTGCACTGTGTTCGTGTTTTCCTCCAAAACAACAATAAGTTCAATTGGAGCAGCCTTTCAACCGCTTTCTCTGTCTGTCCCGTGGGTCTCTCGCAAGCAAATTTATGTGGGTCAACCTTGCTTGCGAGAGACCCACGGGTTCCGTGTCGGCTACGAGCCCGACACGGAACCTGATGTATTAGCCAGAGGTCCTTATACTATAGATCAGACCTTCAGTAACAGTAATAAATCACACAGCAATAGTACATCCATGTAGTTGTAAAAAGCATGACAATATATTTAGTAATCCAAAGTTTTCAGAATACTTTAGTGATGGGTTTGTCTAGCACAACCCCTCGCTGGAACGAGACAATTCTACTACAACAGCAAAAGCAAGACGGAAGTCACCAAAGTTCTTTATGTTAATCGTGCATGAGGGAGAGAACTGGATGAGCGCCGTTCCTTTACTTGACCCCAGTTGCTCTCATCTGCTCCCTCGCAACACTGTTCTTTATTGACATTACATGAATATGCACGGGTTCATTAACATAGGATATCTTACATAGGTATGCACATGAACAAAGAGTACCGTGTGTGTGTGTGTTTGGGGGGGGGGGGTCAAGACGTGACCCTGTGAACGACTTCCCACAACCTGCAGTCCAGCAGTTCATCTAAATAAAAGGCACTTATACTGAAACAGATATACTTGTGTTTGCTATACCATAAAACAATAAAAGAAGGTACGACCTCTCTCACGACCCCAGGATGTGAGTGTGTATGCCAGAACACTCTGGAAGGCACACAGAGTCTTTACAGACTGCTAAGGATCAGACCCCTATCAATATGCAATTGATTATAAAACTCTAAGCATAAATGAGTAAATATTTCTAAGCATAAATGAGAATCAACAATATAAACCTGACAGTTACTTTCATTGAGTAACGTAACGGAATACGTTACAAAATACATTTTGGGCTATGTATTCTCTAATCTGTAGTGGAATACATTTTACATTTTTGGGGTTTACTACCAGTGGGTTTAAATCTGGGAGTCTCCGCCATTTGACCTTACTGAAGAAGCTTCTCGGATGAGAGGTGAAACGTCTTCAAGCAACTTAAAGAAGTCCAGACGCTTTTTCTTTCCAAGCTCATTAGACTACGATGACCTGGATGACTGAGAACCTTCACAAACAATACATTTTAAAAGTAACCTTCCCAACACTGATGAAGTTCATGCTTAAAAAAACTTGCTTGGATAAGTATGTTGAGCCAAAGATGGACAAAACTCTAAATGCATACTTTTTCATGTCAGGAATTGCACTGCATGTTTTAAAAACTGTCTGTGTTGGGGAGTTTTTCCATATCACTCCATTTGTGCTCTTTAGTGAATGTAGCCTTCTGATTTGAACGTATTTACCCTCAAATCTTTATCCGCTCTTTCAGCTTGTTCAATTTCTAGATCTGGCTTACTTATTGCAGTGAATGCAACTGTGTTCAGCAGGGATGGGTTAATGTTGAGCGGTGTGACAAAGAAAGAGAGTAGGTTACTCCTTTCTGAAATCACTGAATCTTTCTCCAAATGCAGCTTGCATTGCAATGAAGGCACGGTGGAAAGGATCATCATTTATTTGACTGTTGGCTTCATTGAAATCTCTTAGGGAGGGGAAGTGAGAGACTGTGCCTTTTTGTGCATCTCTTGCGAACACTGCCAAAACATCCTCCAGCATTTGCATGGCCCTGCTTCCCTTTCCTTGGAGATTTTTATTCTGCGTCTTCAAGTGACTTGTCATATCCACCATGAAGTAAAACTTACCTAGCCAATCGAGGTCTTCCAGTTCAGGATAGTTGAGGCCTTTGCTTTCCAACAAGGATTTCACAAGTTCCAGACAGGGAGCGAAGCAAATCAGCGCCACTCCCCTTGACAGACACCAGACCTTTTGTACAGCAGGAGATCTGAATATTCATTCTTGACTTCTCCTAACAATGAACAAAATTGTCGGTGGCTTAACCCCCCCCCCCCCCCCACCCCCCACCCCCTTCAAACGCCTTCGGAGCTTATGTCTTCTTTGTTGTGAGATCTGATGATTTATGTGGTATGTGCTGCAGTGTGTGTTTTCTGTTCTCAAACTGATCTCCCTGTTGGAGCTCAGTCTGGGGGGAGTTCTTTTTTTCTTCTCGTTTTTCCCCATGTTGTGCATTTTCCATTGTTGTACCTCTCTGACCTGTCTTCCCCATGCAGTGTTTGTGTAATCTATGTATGGTCGAAAGGGTAAGATGGCGCTGGCAAGGCTTGCAGCCTTAACCCAATTTCCCTCGGGATGATTAAAGTATTATCTATCAATCGATCAATCGATCAATCAATCAATAATAATAATCTATGAATTAAAATGAATTAAGAAATGCCCTTTATTTATGGTTGTGGTTTTATGATTGTGGCCAAAGGGAGCAGCTACAAGGAGGCTGAAGAGCCACATGTGGCTCTGGAGCCGCAGGTTGCCGACCCTTAGTTATTTTTTTGCTTAATTTTGTTAACTATGAATTGTAGTATCTACTGACATTACTTTTCTTCACTTGTAACAATGAAGGTTTTTGGTATTAAACCTAAATTCACTTTTTATTTTTTTATTTTCCAGACTGAGTGGCTGTAACCTCTCAGAGAGAAGCTGTGTAGCTCTGTCCACAGTTCTCAGCTCCCAGTCTAGTTTGAGAGACCTGGACCTAAGTAACAACACCCTACAAGATTCAAAAATGAAGCATCTGTTTGCTGCACTGCAGAGTCCACTTTTTACACTGGAAACTCTGAGGTCAGATCAAAGCATATTTATTTTCATCAAATTATATAAATGAAAAATGAAAACTTTTAGCTTATGAATGTCAGCTTAATCAATTTGTTTTACTTACTTACTAGTTTCCATTATTTATAAATCATAACAAAATACCATATTTCTGATATGTTAAAAATAAGGAAATAGCTATTCCAGCCAGTCCTGAAACAACACTAAATATTGCCAGACCTAGTAACTGATCACTTCACCATGAACTACATGAATCCACTTTAAATTCAGCTTTGTCTCTGTGTGTTTTTTTCTTTATTTCTAGACTAAGTGGCTGTTTTCTGTCACAGTCAAGCTGTGAAGCTCTGTCCTCTGTTCTCAGCTCCCAGTCCTCTAGTCTGAGAGGGCTGGACCTGAGTAACAACACCCTACATGATTCAGGAGTGAAGCCTCTATCTGCTGCACTGCAGAGTCCATGCAGTACACTGGAAACTCTGACGTCAGCTCAAAGGATATTTATTTTTCATCAAATTAAATATTTAAACAATGTAAACTTTTAGCTATTAAATGTCAGCTTCATCAGTTTGTTATTGCAGCTTACTAGTTTTCATTCTTTATAAATCACAACAAATTGCCATATTTCAGATGTATTAAAAATAAGGAAATAGCATTCCAGCCAGTCGCGAAACAACATTAAATATAGCTCAACATAGAAACTCTGTATCACTGCACCATCAATATATTTTAAATTCAGCTTTTGCATGTGTGTGTTCTTTATTTCTAGACTTGGTGTTTGTTTCCTGTCAGAGATGAGCTGTGAAGCTCTGTCTTTTGCGCTAAGTTCTAAGTTCTCTGTTTTGAGAGTGCTGGACCTGAGTAACAACAACCTACAAGATTCAGGAGTGAAGCTTTTGTCTGCTGGACTACAAAGTCCACACTGTACACTAAAAACTCTGAGGTCAGAACAAAATGATTGTTTTCATCAAATGACATAATTAACCAATAAAAGATTTATCTAATAAAGTCCATTTTTTTTCCATTACTGTTAATTTTGCCATTATTTCCAAATCACAGAACAGTGCCACATTTCTGATCTGTTTGAAATAATGAAATGCAAATTCCAGGTAGACCTGAAACAACATCAAATATTACCTGACCTACTTAGTCATTTAAATTCAGTTGTGTGTGTGTGTGTTTCTGTTTGTGTGCGGTGTTCTTTATTTTTAGAACAAGTGACTGTAATCTCACAGGAAGAAGCTGTGAAGCTCTGTCCACAGCTGTCTGCTCCCAGTCCTCTACGCTGACAGAGCTGGACCTGAGTAACAACGATTTGGATGATTCAGGGTTGAAGCTCATGTCTGCTGCATTGGAGAGTCCACATTGTACTCTGGAAACTCTGAGGTCAGGATTCAGTCTTTTCCACTCAGCATTATTTAGAATCCATACTACATTAATGAATAAATGGCAAAGGGTTATAGAATTGTCTGGTGCCTTTTTATTTATAATTAGTTTGATTATTTGACTCTGAATTACACTCATATTACATTAATGTGCACATTACTTCCAGGCTGGATTAATTAAATTCATTGTTGTTCTGAAAACTCTCTGAAAATCTTCAGTTCATCCAACATGCTGCAGCAAGAACACTAAGAGAGACTTGAAAGAGGGACTGTATTTTCTCCATATTAGCTTATCATCATTGGCTTCCTCTGGAATCGAGAGCCAAAAAAGTGAAGTGTTTTCAGATGGGTTGTTTTGTGTGTCTACAGTCTGTCAGGCTGTCTGGTCACAGAGGAAGGCTGTATCAATTTGGCTTCAGCTCTGAGCTCCAACCCCTCCCATCTAAGAGAGCTGGACCTGAGTTACAATCATCCAGGAGACTCAGGAATTGAGCTGCTGTCGGCTGGACTGAGGGATCCTGGCTGGAGACTGGAGACTCTCAGGTATGGAGAGAATGTCTGATAGAGGAGGAAGAGCTGGAAAAATTTCCTGTGTCCTTCCCTCACTTCCTTTTTTGTTTTAGGAACAGAAACACTTGTCTAGCTGGAAAGTAGATGGATATTTATATAGGGATTCTCCAATGAGTCCATTTGCAGTAAAATTAATGATAACTGATAAGTCATGTGAAAATCTAATTAACAGTAGACCTACAGTGAGGTCCATAGATATTTGGACAGAGATAACTTTTTCTATTTTTGATTCTCCACATTTTAAATGGAAAAAAATCTGATGCAGACTTTCAGCTTTAATTCACTGGGTTTAACAAAAACATTTTAATGCTCTGCTAGGCCTTTACTGCAGCAGCTTTAAGTTGCTGTTTGTTTGTGGGCCTTTCTGTCCAAACTTTTGAAATAATCAGTTGGGTTAAGATTAAAATTTTCTACCCCTAATATTGCAGCAATTTCTTGCATGGCCTTTTGCATATGCCTTGTTTCACCTGTATGAAGAGCTTCTTTGGCCACATTTATCACAGCAAAACCTTTCAACTGAAAGTACCACACCTCAAATAAATTCCAGGCCTTGTTGTCTGTTTAATCGATGATGGCAAAATGAAGGAATTGCCCATTTGCCCATTAAATGGCTGTTGAGTCAGCCATATAGTTTAATTCATAATATATTTTTTTGTGTTTACACTCACTCTTTGAAATAGATGCGAGTAAAACATAGCAAAAAATAAATAAAAACAAAGATTCTCAGAGCCTCTTTGATTGAATTTTTAGTGTTTTACTCAACTGTGTTACATCTGTGGTGTTCCCGGTCAAAAGTGGTCACCATAGGAAATGAATTATTTATTTATTTATTAACCTTTATTTAACCAGGAAGATCCCATTGAGATTAAAAACCTCTTTTTCAAGGGAGACCTGGCCAAGATAGGCAGCAGCAGGTGTCTCACAGAAATTACTTAAACACAGGCAGCAACAACACACGTGCAACAATAAGTGAAAGAATACAAATAAAATAAAATAAAACTCAATAAAATTCAAATAAAAATTAAAAGTCAGTTAAAATGACAATCAATCTAATTGAAACAGTTGCATGTTATGGACTTGGCCTCAAGGATTCGTAGTTTAGATTTAAAAGCACTTAATGAAATGAATTCAGTCATTTTCCATTCCTTCTGCAGTTTGTTCCAAGCCAAGGGTGCTAAATGGACAAAAGCTCTTTTACCAAGTTCAGTTCGGGCAAATGGAACAGAAAGCAACAAGTAACCGGACAACGAGAATACCGACTAGCACGTTTCATTACAAGCAGGGAACATATATAAGAAGGCAACAACCCAAGTATCGCCTTATA